CGATAACCTACTCTTTTTTTTCTGGTTTCAGAAATTTGGAGCAAAATAAACAATCCACAAGCACCATGTCTAGCAATTGACATGCTCCCCTTGACATGTTCACAAGTGCTCTGCGCTTCTCGAAGTAATAAAAATGAAAATGATGAAAATATATCAGCTAATGCATAATCATGTTAATTAGTTTCAAGCGAAGAAAGTTCACCAAATATTCACCCACAGCGGATGGATAACACACAAAACAACTAACCATGCTAAAACCCTCCAATAACTCTGTACTTCTACAAATGAAAAGTCAGTGCTTTAGTAAAATGAAAATGATGAAAAAGCACCACTGTTCCTAGGAGAAGACAATAACAAGACCCATCCTAAGAGACCAATTCAGCCACAGCTCCATGAAAATGATGAAACAGCAAGACCCAATAAAGTTCTTGCGTTGCAACTATCTAGAACCATCACGAGCATGGTAAAAAACCTGAAATTCATACATAAAGAAAAATCAACTAGAAATCATGCTCTAAAGACAAATGCAAATATGCCGATTAATGAAGTGTATTTACTCACCACAAAATCGGAGTTTCCACAAAAGAAAGTATATTTACTAATGATAATATCCTCGGTAAGACAATCCAAATCTAAAAACCAAAAAAAAAAAAGATTAAATAAAGTATTCACTTAATACATAAATATGTGAATGAATGACAAGATAAAAAGAAATAATGAAATATACACGACTTAACCAACTCAAACTTTTCCGTGTTCTCAATGCACTCTTCAACATTAATCGGCACGCGAATGGCTCTCAATTAATCTTGAGTGCAAATCAAACCTTCCACCACTCTAGGAGTCAAAGAACTTCGAAAGCTGTCAAGCACACATCCCAATGTACTAAAAGTCGACTCCGAAGCAACGGTAGTCACGGGAATGGACAAAACATCCCGAGCCATCAAAGATAAGATTTTATACTTTGACCCACTAATCTTCCACCACATCAAAAGGTCCAGATTAATGACATCTTCACTTTCGGCTTCAAGATACCAATCAAGCTCAGATTTGTTTTCATTAAGCACTTTTTTCTTCGGTGAAGAAAGCTTTTTCGCCAAGCTTGGATGTCATCCTCATTGTTACCTTCATTGTTATCAATATTGGCATTGGACCCACTACTACTAGTACTTACGCTTGAACCACCAAAATGTTGTTTACTAGAACGAACAAATGATTGCTCATAAAATTCATACAAACGCTCCAAGGCAAGCTTCACCTTATCATGCATCTCATCAATTTTCGCTTCATCATCATAAATTTGTCCATAACATAACTTCACATAATTTAACTTTTTTGTAGGATCCAACGCAACCGCAATCAACACAATGATGTTTACTTTATCCAAACTCCCATAATATTTGTCAAACTTCTCCTTCATTTTTAAACCCATAGCTTGAAGCTTAGGATCCAAAGAATTCGCCGCATGATTCAAATATTTATACAAAAAAGCTATACCCTCAAAATAATCATTTGAAGTAACATATTAACTTCATGACATCCGTTTGGTGGCATCATGAAACTGTTTCAGAAACTTAGAAAGAACGATGGCATTTTCCCAATCCTCATTTCGAGGAGAATCATTGTCAATCTCCCTTAAGAAAGATGAATCATCGTCTTCCATCTTTTCAAAAGCTTTCCTATGCTTTATTGCTGTATCTAACATTAGGTAAGTGGAGTTCCATCTAGTGGCAACATCGAGACAAACTGAACCCTTGTATGTAATCCTCGCACTCTTAATACAAGATTGAAATGTTCGAGCTCTCATGGGAGAACTTTTCACATACCTAACTACATTTCGAATACGTGCAATAGAATCACGCACCTCATTCAATTCATCTTTTACAATCAAGTTTAATATATGAGCAGTGCACCTCATATTTAAAACATGACCATTCAAGATCAAATACCTTTCCTTTGAAAGTTTTTCCTTCAAATAACCAACAGCCACATCATTAGAACTAGCATTATCAACGGTTATTGTGGACACCTTCTTTTCTATTCCCCACTCGTAAATGCATTTCTCCACCATTTTCCCAATCTCTCTACCCTTATGACTATGCATCACTACAAAATTGATGATTCTTTTATGCAACTTCCAGTTTTCATCAATAAAATGTGCAGTGAGACATAAATAGTTCAAGTTTTGAATGGAAACTGCACATATCAGTTGTGAGTGCAATCCTAGAATTAAGCTTACCAAAGTAAGCTTTCAAACAAGTTCTTTCACTCAAATACAACTTCATACAATCTCTAGCCACCGTAAATCATGATAAATGTTGGAATAAAGGCTGTAATTCAGTGACAAAATCACGAAAACCGACACGCTCAACCGTGGAAAAGGGTTGTTCATCAATAATGATCATCCTAGCAAGCATGTGCCTACAACGTCCTTGATCAAACGTCCACATTGTTAAGACACTACCATCACCAGTATTTTTCCCTACCTCGCCAACCACGTCTTTGTTACGTGGTGCAAACAACATTTGCTTCTTATCTGTATGAGGATACTTTTTGCAGGTTCTCAAGTGCTTCCACATACTAGATGTTCCATGATCAACGGAGTATTTATACTCTTTCTCACAGTGAATGCACTTTACGATAGTTACTTTCTTTGTGTTCTCATCTATAATTTTCGAAAAATTATCCCATCTCTCTGATTGATTAGCTCGCTTTTTACCAAGAAGAGGATGGGAGTTAGGTACCCTCACCTTGTTTGTCGCACTCACGGTTGTAGAGTCCACTTCAGCAGCTTCATGGAATGGCAATTCCATGAGAGGACTCATTTCATTATATCCATCCGCTTGCATTGATATGTCTTTGTCTTGATCCATCAACTGAAATTAAACTATACAAAGTCAGGAATCTACAGAAGACAAATTTTACAACAATATAGGACCAACAATCATAGAATAAGAAGTCTATAACTCTTCATTTGTGCAACAACAATTACAGCCACAAAGCATAGCGAACCAAAGTCAAACTCTTCGTTCTTGTTTCGCAATGGGTTGCTCATTGATCCAGATCAAAGGGCATGCATCAAAATATGTCAAAGCCGGACGAGAACAGGCAAGAAACAGAGAGGTGAGAACAAAAACCTCTCCGGCCCTTCATCAAACACATACAGAATTGCACTCAAGACACATACATGAATTCTCTCCTGCATGCATGCATGCATACAGGCAATTCAAGAGGAAATCAGCATCAAGTTGCTACCAGTAGAAATATTCAGCATGTCTCATAGCTACAGATCGAATGAATGCATGTCTCATAGCTATGTGATCAAGATCTTGCAGGTCCTGTATAATATACTAGTCATAAATTCCAAGTAATTTTTATTACCACATTCTCATCCTGTAATTCAGATGCAAATCACACCTAACTATTGAACTGATATGGCTCTAACAACACTCAAGCAAAAACAAAAACTAATTTGAGAAACTAGATGTTGCTGACTCCAGTAAGTCTTATCATTAGTACCTCGGAAGCTTATCTTTCATTAATTAGGTTTCACTCAAACATTCAAGAAGCTTCCAGGAGCTTTAGCTTCTAGGTAAATTTCCTCCATAAATGCTATGGCACATAAGCAAAACAACCAAAATACGCCCTCAAAATCTCACACGAGGCACCAAAAGATCCAAGCTTCGACAGGGGACCGAATCAAGCGAATCGATTCGCCGTCACACAGAAATCGCGAGCTCTAAAAACAACAGTAGTAGTGGGAGTAGGATCGGGGGGGGGGAGGGGGGGAACCGTGAGCTGACCTTCGCAGCGGCGTAAGGGTTGGATGAGCTGGGTTGCGGCGACTGAGGTGGTGAGCAGCTGCAATGATGAGTGGCGACGAGTTGGGTTGTGGCGACTAAGGCAGCGACCAGCCGTGGCGACGAGGGGCGACGAGCTGGGTTCCGGCGATGAGCGGCGTTACGGCGACTTAGGCAGAGAGCAGCTGTGGCGACGAGTTGGGTTGCGGCGAGCAGCCACGGCGACGAGATGCTACGAGCTGGGTTGCGGCGAGCAGCCGTGACAACGAGCTGGGTTGCAGCGACACCAGCTACGGCGACGAGCGGCGAGCAGTTGCAGCGACAAGTTCTTGCGAGCAACCAGCAGAAAGGGGACTCGCAAACTGGAAGAGACTCAAGGGAGAGACTAAGAGTAACAAATGCTAGGGTTTTTTTACAGTAACTTAAAACCGGTCCGGGTGGGTTTCACTTAGACCCGGGAACCTGACCGGTTTCGAAAAAATAAAATTGGTTCCCGGACCGATTCAAACAGGAACCGGTTCTCGGACCTATTTTTTAGGTGGGCTGGTCCGGTTGCACAGCCCTAATAATGATGCTTCAAAATTAAAGAAAGAAATTCGACCAATAATTCAATTGTCTTTTTTATATTATTATTAATTTGGAAAAAGGAGTAACGACCTTCCCTTTTTCACCCCCATGTCGCCACACGGGAGGGGCATGGGGATGTCAAAAAGGATATATGTGTACATAAAAAATAACAAATAAATGTACTAAAAATCCTAAAACTTATCAGGAAATTGTAATTAAGGTAAAAAAACATTCAAAAAGTGTAATCAAGTACTAAGACTTATAATAAAAGTGTAATCGAGTCCTAAAACTGATCAAGAAAGTACAATCAAGTCCTAAATTTTTTTTAAAAAAAGTGCAATCTACTCGTTAAATTGGTCTAATCAAGTTTTTCCACTGATAATACTTTTTTTTTTAAGTTTTAAGACCCGATTATACTTGTGATAAGTTTCAGTCTCAATAGCACATTCGTGATAAGTTTTAAGACTCTCGGTACACTTATCCCTATTATTAATCGGGAAAAAGGTGTAAAACCACATGTGAAAGAAGGAGTAAGTAATAACATCTATATATATGTATATATATATGTATATAAGAAAATATAAAGTAGGAAAGAAAATAAAGTAAAAAACAAAGCACGACGGGCCTGTGGACCTTTACCAGTTCTGAGGAGTCCTTCCGGCTCCAATATTCATCATCCTTCTCTCAGCTTCCTCCGTCCCTCTCTCTCTCTCTCTCTCTCTACTCTCTCTCTCTCTCTCTAGCGGACGCGAAGATCTGAATTTCCTCCGATCGCGCCCCGATCTCTCCCAGCCAAGCACGGTGCAAGCTCCCGTCGCCGCCTCCGCCGCCGCCGCTGCCGCTGCCGTCGCCGTCGCCGTCGCCGGCGGCCCCCGCCCCCTGTCGGAGATTTGCTAGGGTTTCAGCGGCCTGCCTTGGGGCGCGCCGATCAGGTAAGCTTTCTGGGGGGGGCGGACGCGAAGGTCCTCCTCGGTGTTGTCGAGGAGGAGGAGGTTCTCTCCTCTTCCCTCTGCGGGTGTGAAATCGCGCTGTCGAAATTGATCGGCTGTGGGGCCTTGGCTTCTGTTAGAATTCCGTTCCTAGTGGAGCGATCTGGGATAATCAGCGTGTCGGCGATGCGGCCGTGTCGATTGAGTGTGGATTGTTTGACGGGGAGGACGCTTCTATTTTTAGGAAAAAGGTTTTGGCTTTGAGCTTCTCTGGTGCCTAGGATTGTCCGGAGAATTAGGCTGTTGTGGTTGTTGACCGCCGTGTTGGTTTTATGTGTACTGCGTTCGATATCGTGTTTGGGGGGGAGAGAGTTTCGGTTGAGGCGGCGATCGCGATGTGGTGTTGTCTCTTATAAGGGTCTGCTTGGATTGTTGGTGAACATAGTATTGTGTCTTTTCACTGGCTACCACTTCAATTTAGCTCTGGATGCTTGCTGCTTGGTCACTGACTAGAGAATTGCGATAGAGTTTTGGTTTAGATCAAAAGAATTGTGCATATCAGGAGTTATGGTTGTAGCAATGTACATGTTACTTTTCTTTTGATCGCGGTTCCTTACTGTGTGTGCTTCTGCTTTTATAAATGAGATTTTGGCATGTGATGCCGCTAGTTCTTGTACTGTTCAAATCCTAAGATATCTTCTTACATCAGGTTTTATGTATGGGAGTATAGGGATTCGGAGTTGAATAAGGAGGTTATCAGATCAATTCCATGGGGACTGAAAATCCAGGTCGTTCGGCTTTCACTAGCAGGCCCACTTCGCCTTTTACATCTTCGCCTCCTGCTGCGACACCTTTTTCATCAACGAATCCAGTGGTCGGACCAGGGGTCTCCACTTTTAGACCTACGACAGCTGCTGCTCCTCAGGCTCCGCCTCGTTCACCTTTTGTTCCTGTGGCTGGATCAGACAGATCTAGTTTCCGGCCCCCTCCACAATCTGCATATAGTGATCCATCAGTACCACCTCCACCGACTTCATATGCCCCTCCCACTTCTGGAGCTTTCCAACGTTTTAGTTCACCCCAGTTCCCGGGGACAGCACAACCACCACCTACACAAGGTCCACCTCTTGGACAGCCACCATTTCAATCTCCTGCTGCTCAATTATATTCTCAGCCTGGATCTTTTCGCCCCCCAACACATGTACCTTCTCTGCCGATGGGATCTCCTCCAAGAGCAAATATTATGCCCCCTGTTGGAAACATGCCCCAGGCGAGCCCATTGTATTCTGCTCCCAGGGCAAGTGGACCGCCCCCTATGCCTGGATATGTGACTCAGCAGTCTAAAACAGCTCCACCAGCTTCAACTTTACAATCTCCATTTGCTAGTGCCCCAGGAGGTTATGTGCCGACTCCACCAGTATCGTCTCCCCCTTTGCATGCACATCAAGGAGGGTATATTCCACCACCACCAGCTCCAGGGACCCTGCAAACACAGCATCCGGGATTTGGACCCCCCACAGGTCCCATTCATGGTCTGCTTGAAGATTTCAGCTCCCTCTCTCTTGGGTCTGTACCTGGATCATTGGACCCTGGACTTGATTCAAAATCTTTGCCAAGACCACTAGATGGCGATGTGGAGCCCAAGTCATTTGCTGAAATGTTTCCCATGAATTGTCATTCTAGATTTCTAAGGCTTACAACTAGTGCCATACCAAATTCTCAATCTTTGGTCTCAAGGTGGCACTTACCTCTTGGAGCAGTTGTTTGTCCTCTGGCAGAATCTCCTGATGGGGTGAGATTCCCTGAACTGAAAAGCATAAATTTTTTCTGCAATTGTGAGCAGTTGTATATATTGAATCTCACAGTCACCTTATTTTGTTGCTATTTGCTGTTATTCAGGAAGAAGTTCCTATAGTGAATTTTGCTTCAACTGGCATTATTCGTTGCAGGAGATGTCGCACCTATGTCAATCCATATGTGACGTTTGCTGAAGCAGGGAGAAAGTGGCGCTGCAACATCTGCTCCTTATTGAATGAGGGTAATTTTTTAGACTTCAGGCTCTCTGGATGTTTGGCCTTTTGTGTTGTTTTTTCTAGAAGTTGTGCTATTGCCTGCCTGGGCTTTGGTTGTGGTTTTTTCCAAACGTTGCTTGGAATTCTGAACTTGTCCTTTTCCTGCTTATGATAATTGCCTGTGGATCAGCCGGCCTCTTTTTCTTTGCATTGACACCTTTAATCTTCTAGACATCAACTTGAAGCTGAATCAGATGCTTAAGATATTTTTCATGAATTGGATTCAAACCAATCAAGCAAGCTGCTTTCCTTTTGGTGGATCCTGAGGGGCAATAATTTGTGAACTTTTAATGACCTTTGATTTCTTTAAATTTTTCTTTGTCTGGAAGGTGGAGGTTCTGTGAGAAATATTTAACTTTTTATTCTTCCCTGCTAACAGTTTTATGCACAATGTCTAAAATTAAAATACCATGGCTCAGGGCTGTAATGATGACAAAATTTATAGCAGCTTCAAAAGATTATCACAATTTTACACATTTTTCTCTTTGGGGCAAGATTTGTTTGAAGGTGCTATAATAGCCCTTCTGGGTTTTGGCACTAGCTATAACTGAGTCTTGTGGCTTCTTGTGGTATCTTCCTGGGTAGACTACAATGATCCTTTGAACTGTCTCATATTTAAAAGTTTGTTGCTATGACATAATTTACATTAATGAGTTATTTACCAAGTACATATCACCAATATGCGATTCACAGCTTGTAAACCGTGTGGCAGCCATAAAGTAGATGATTTTATTGCAAAGTGTTTTCTTTTATGGTTCATATTAGTATGATCTACCATCTTTACTGTCATCTACAGTTCCCGGTGATTACTTTGCCCAATTGGACTCTACTGGCCGAAGACTTGATCTGGATCAGCGACCTGAGCTTACAAAGGGCAGTGTTGAATTTGTTGCTCCAACTGAATATATGGTTCGGCCTCCAATGCCGCCACTCTATTTTTTCCTCATTGATGTTTCGATATCTGCAGTTAGAAGTGGCATGGTACAGGTGAGCATGAAGCAAAATTTCCGTAGTCGTGCTGCCATTTGTCCTGCTTTGTACAATGGCTATGTGTGTTTCGTGATTTTGTTGCATCTCGATATATGTGTGTTTCTACAATTTTTAATCGATTGTAGTTGACTGTGGATGCAACTATTTACTGTGCATGTCAGCTAAGCATTAGATTTAATGAGTTACCTGAAAGGGGTTAACTGGCGCTTGTTCAGTTCGGTTGAAGAAGTAAGCTTTTAGAAAGTTCGGGCAGAATTAGTTCATTCTTGCTCGAATGTTTATCTCCTGAAGGGCTTTTTTCTTGCGATTTATCGCATAGGCTCCTATCGTGATATATATGTAATGTGACTCTTTGGAAGGATTAATGTCTTGCAGGTTGTGGCCGAGACTATAAAGTCTTGTTTAGATAATCTTCCGGGCTTCCCCAGGACACAGATTGGGTTCATAACTTTTGACAGCACTATACATTTTTACAATCTGAAGGTAAGAGATCTGTGTGCTACTTGTGCAGGAACTCCATTTGATTTCAGTAGACACTTTCGTACCATCTAATTAAACACTATGATTGACACTGGGTTTTTCAATTGTGCAGTCATCCTTGACCCAACCTCAGATGATGGTTGTCTCAGATCTCGATGATATATTTATCCCACTGCCAGATGATCTCCTTGTCAACCTGTCAGAGTCCAGAGAAGTTGTGGAGACTTTCCTTGATAGCTTGCCATCGATGTTTGAGAACAACATAAATGTGGAATCTGCTTTTGGTCCAGCTCTCAAGGCGGCATTTATGGTTATGGTATGCTATAATTTCCTTCTTCTTTCCTACCTTATCATAATTCTTTCATTTCTGCATACAGTTAGAGCATGTATTGTAAAATTTTCTTTTCTTCCTGTCAAATCATTCATTCACTGCTCATGACGTTTCATTGTTCTGCAGAGTCAACTTGGGGGAAAATTACTTGTTTTCGAGAATACACTGCCATCTCTTGGTTTTGGCCGCTTGAAGTTGCGGGGAGATGATGTTCGTGTTTACGGAACAGATAAAGAACATACGCTGAGAGTACCAGAAGATCCCTTTTACAAGCAAATGGCTGCTGATTTCTCTAAGTACCAGATTGGTGTTAATATATACGCATTCAATGAAAAGTACGGTGATATAGCCTCCTTAGGTATATCCTCAGCTTCCCTAACTTTTCATCAAAATGAGGATTGACAAATTGATTGAGTCTGACATTGGTGCTGGATATGTTTATGGCTGCTTATTTAGCATAACTAGAGATAAGATGGTTTTCTACTAGGGTTGCTATGACTCTGGGCCACATTAATATTTTGGAAGAATCTTTAAATATTATTAGTTGTCTGTCTAATACGATGCACAGGACTGGGTGAAAGGAAGTCAATAGATCTAATCAAGATTTTCTGTTCTTTTTACTTGTAATTTGTTAAGAAACATTTTATGCTCTTGGACTATCTATGGTTGCTGTGCATTAATTGTGAAGCTCATAATAAATATTGTTTCTCGAAGGAAGACCTTGGAGTTCATAGAAGTATAGTAGCTCTAATATCGAGCTTTGCCGTTGTCCTCTATTGATTGATCATAGATTTTATTATATTGTTAATAAAGACCTCGAAGGGGAGCCTTGGGCAACAGTAAAGTTGTTGCCATGTGACCTCCTGGAGGTCACAGATCGAGTTGTGGAAACAGCTACTTGCAAAAGTCCCAAGGTAAGGCTGCGTAGCACCGGAGCTTCATGCACTGAGCTCCACTTGCCCTTGCCCTGTTATAAAGACCTCAGTAGTTAGTCTTCTATGTGAAATGATGCTTAGATTTAGCTGACATCCAATGAGGGTATATTTATAACCATTTCCTGTGCACAATAACATAGAGCTGCTGATGTATGCATCTGATGCATCATACATTCTTCAGAAGATTAATGCTTGTCACATTATACCTATGTAGGAACCCTCGCGAAATACACTGGGGGTCAAGTCTACTACTATCCCAGCTTTCAATCAGATATTCACAGAGAGAAGCTGAGACACGAGTTAGCCAGAGATCTCACGAGGGAAACTGCCTGGGAGGCCGTTATGCGCGTAAGATGTGGGAAAGGTTTGTGGATGATGTTCAAAAGTGCTTATTGAGCAGTTTAATTTGCTCGTGTGCATTGGGTAACATGTAGTTACTTTGTTTCTTGATGGAAACTTGCAGGAATTCGTTTCACATCTTACCATGGAAATTTTATGTTAAGATCCACCGACTTATTGGCACTTCCAGCTGTGGATTGTGATAAAGCATATGCAATGCAGCTATCTCTTGAAGATACATTACTGACAACCCAAACAGCATATTTCCAAGTTGCTTTGCTGTATCCTTCAATGAGGATGGTTATTTATCTGCAATTTGTTTTCACTCCTATTGTATCCATATATGTACCTGCATATGCTTCATGCTCTTTTCCTTTCTTATATAGTCCCTTGTGTATATCTTTTTTAACGCGTTTTCTTTTCCCCGGTCCTTATAATTGTGTTCACTTTTAAGATTATAATTGGAAGATTAGAGTGGGACAGTTGTGGTGATCAGGCGACCTCCTGTTGTAACGTTTACTTTGTGCTTTACAGTTACTTTCCAAATTTCCATCTTGTTACCATGAGTAACTTGAGAAGTTCACATCTGCTTTTACATTATACGGGGCTTAGTTTCTGGGTTTTGATGAATACTAGTTTTCTTGTCATATCACAGTGATTCACGTTTAACATGTTTCAGCATACTTCTGGGTAATATTTCTACAATCTCAAGCCCTTGCACTGCTTCTACGATTGGAATTAGGGCATTCTGGTTGTATTATGGACATTTAGGTTTGGATGCCCTTAACAAACAAAGATACACTGCATCCTGTGGAGAAAGGCGTATTAGAGTACACACAGCCGCGGCTCCCACCGTAACAGATCTAGGAGAAATGTACCGTCAGGCAGACACGGGTGCCATCATATCTTTGTTCAGTAGGCTAGGTAGAGTTAAAAAGATTTCTCATGCTGTGAATGACTTCTGCTGCTCGATTTTAAGTAAATATAGGTTTGATTATCTCACCTTGGTCTATGCACTGTAGCAATTGAGAAGACATTGACTAATAAGTTGGAGGATGCACGAAATGCTATCCAGCAGAGGATAGTCAAAGCACTCAAGGAATATAGAAATCTTTACGCAGTGCAGCATCGTTTGGGAGGCAGGATGATATATCCAGAATCTTTGAAGTTTTTACCTTTATACGGCTTGGCCCTTTGTAAATCAGCCATCCTAAGGGGAGGGTATGCCGATGTGCCACTTGATGAACGTAGTGCAGCCGGTTACACCGTGATGGCGTTGCCTGTGAAAAAATTGTTGAAACTTTTATATCCAGACTTAATTAGGCTTGATGAGTATCTGATGAAGGTAATGGTCCTCCAAAATCTCGTGATTGCATTGTGTTTTCCTCATAGCACTTTGTAGGTCCTTCAAAGTACTTGATACTATGTCTGCAACATTCTTGCAGGGATCTTCTCTGGATGATGAGCTTAAGAACACAATTAAAAGGTTACCATTGACTGCAGAGAGCTTAGACTCCAGGGGGCTCTATTTGTTTGATGATGGCTTTCGTTTTATTATATGGTTTGGTAGAATGCTTTCACCCGATTTGTCCAAGAATTTGTTGGGGCAAGACTTTGCAGCTGATTTATCAAGGGTTAGTTTTTTAGCCATACTTATTTGCATTGGATTGTTATTTTTTCCTTTCCCCCCCTAAATATACCACTGCAAAGAGTTATTCAGCATGGCTATCGAGTGAATATACTAATTTAGGATTGTGGATAAATTCAACATTCAGTTTGTTGACCTGAATTTATACCAGATTTGAAATGCTAGTTTTATTGGTTCGATACTCTCTGCAAGATGTGAAGTATATGGAGGATTGATGGTGACTGAGTTATCTCATCGGAAGCGTAGTTATATTAGCAGATTCTTGATGGACTGATGTTTTGTGGACTAGCTTCGATAAAAGATAAATGGAACAGTCAATTGAGGTACTCAAGGAACGATCAGTGCTTTGCGAAGGAAATGGGAATTGAACTATATGTGCATTACCAAGTTGGAATTGCTGACGTAGAGATGTCTGCAATAAATTTTTGAGGCAGTAGTGGAACAGCCACATTCTTTTTTTTTATTGGGTTTTTTTGGGGCGAGGTGGGGTGGGGGTGTGCGAGGCTGTGACAATGGAAACAGCTGAGATGAGAGGAGGAAATCAATGGAGGTTTTGCTGATAGATAAGTTATTTACCATGACTTTTATGTATATCATTTACTAAAAAAAATTGTAAATTGTGCGGACAAATGCAAGCTGTTAGGGCTCTAGCTTTGACAGAGCTTATGAATAGTACATTGTTTCATTTTTGCGTGGGCGCTATTGCTAATTACTGAGCTGGCTTATTCCCCACTCCAAAAAGGAAAAGGAGGGAAGTAAAATTGTCTATTATTTATGCATAGACTGGTTACTCATCAAAAGAATTTTGTGCCTGAAATTGTCAGTGTGCTATAATTGGGATTTAAACTGGTGAGGCACTAAAATCAGAGTGATATTTCCAGCTGGAATGGTCTGGGAGATCCAAAACCGCAAAGTGGTATAGTGATATCAATCTTTGGGAAAAAGTGCGAGTCCTTGAAATTGCTGCTGAGCAGATGTTTTCTGCAGATGTTAAAAATAGAGCTATAAAGTTTCAGTAGAACTATGGGTAATTTGTCTCGAATATTAGAGTTACTGTGGCTGTCTTGAAATTTATTGTGAAGTGAAAAATTAACAGTGGGAGACTTTTAAATGGATGAATAGCAATTAGAGTGTTTTTTGGGATGAGTGAAGTGGCAACTAAGATATATTGTGATACTTATTGCTTTGAGATTGACTTTACACCTTTTGTGAATGTGTAATTTCTATTTCACCATGTGGGCTATTCTTTTATATTATGGTTTTGAATCAAAGTAGTACATTGTGGTGCAGATATGTGTGACCAACTCTCCTGACAGATGGGTTCTACTGTTCTAAACATCATTTAAATCAATTTGTAAATTATGTGTGCACTCATCCTGTCTATACTAATTAAAGTTGTCCAGATTCCGAAATATAAATCATCCAAAATCCGTGTGTGTGGTTAGCACCGGCCGTCATCGTCCACTGTTGCTTCTTACTCGGGCCGAATGTATGGACGATTCTTTCGGTAGAAATCAGAACATTGTCCCGTGCTGGTGACGATATTTTGACCAGCAGCTTGTTTAGTCAGTAACGCATTGAAAAGTTACCAATGCTATTACAAGAATTTCAACACTTACCAACTATTTAAATAATTAGGTGCCTCTTGTTTAGTTCTGCTTTTTTGCCTTGTTTACTTTTTCATTTATAATCTCAAATTGGTCTATCGGCTTCTCTTTCTTGTCTTTTCTTCTTCTTCTTAATTTTTTAACTTTGGTTTTTATCTTTAGAATCAGGTTAACTTCACGGAACTCAACCATGAAATGTCTAAAAGGCTCTTTGCCCTGATCAAGAAGCTGAGGGAGACTGATCCTTCATGCTACCATTTGTGTCATCTTGTAAGACAAGGTGAGCAGCCAAGAGAAGGATTTCTTCTCCTTGCAAACCTGGTTGAGGACCAGATGGGCGGCACTAATGGTTATGGTGATTGGGTGCTTCAAATACACCGCCAAGTCCAGCAGAATGCATGAAGTACAGGTATCTTTCGTGTTGGATGATAGGTGTTCATGTTAGTTTTTTCATTTTAATCAATAGTTGTGCCATTTTGGTATTTTTCTATTTAAGTACACAGGATTTGATCTGGTCCATTGCTTCTAGTTTTTCTGTTGAATCTTTATTTAAGTTGCAAGAGTCCATTGCTGGCAAACACTCTGTGGGAAGTTGTTACATTGTTGAAACATAGAAACTGGTTTTATAGCTAGTTTTCGACCACTTGTCTTTTAGTCTGTCAGCTGTCATTAAAGAGATGTTACGTAAAGTGTGTTTAGTGGATTGTTTATTTTTAATGAGTTTTCAAGAATAATATGCTGAGTAAACTTTGAGAATTTCATAGCAGAAGGTATCAGTGTGTTCTCTTAGATGCCGTAGAGCAGTATCTATGTGCTTGCACAATTGTCTTTTGGTTTATCGATTTTCTCCTGGAGATCATGATCCTTGAAATCTTCTTTTCTTTTCTTTTTGGTCAGGGAATTATCATTTTGTTCCATGTCCTCGATTATAAAGTGAATCAAGCAACATGTATAACTACAGGTTTTGCTGGGATTCCATTCAATATGTGGAAAAGGTTGTCGAGTTCATGAAAGTGGTCAGCAGAGACAGATCTGCAGACGATTATTCTCGGTCCGTCACGAAAATAAGGGGGAGATTCAATCATGTACTTGTGTCTTATTTTGAGAAGGAGATAGCAAATTTTGTCTGCATTGATTATGAGTCAATCTTCTGTATCTTTGCATATTACAGTCCTTTTTAACCTCCTGGCTCTGGGTTTGCTTGTAGCTGTAGGGATAGACTGATGATGATAGTGTGATCAATTTGCCTGCAGAGTTGGGGACAATTGTTCATTCAACTGTATTTACAACTCAATTTTGGGGTGTTAATTTCAATTTTATTCAATGCCCTTTTGTTCTCTTCTCAAGAGATCCGGCACGACATGAGGGGCGAAAGTGGAGAAACCAGGCTGTTTCCATTAAGCAGCTTAGTCCTCTGTCGCCTCGCTGGTCTCGTAGTGTGTGTATCGTCGCTCGATCATGAATAAAGAGCTTCTCTGCTACCTGCATTTTGCCACGGAAGTGCGCTAGAGGTCCTGACTTCGGTCTCTCGGTTCTATTTTGTCCAGTTTTCAAATTCGATTTCTCGCATACGGGTTTCTATAAAGATCTTCATAATCCATTCATAGAGTTCGCGAATTTCGGGCTTGTCTTGGTTAATTCTTCAAATCAAGTGGCAATGCAGTGATTTGAACAGATATTGAGAAGTATGAATAAGCTAATGACTTGAGTAACCCTCACTGGGCTTTGATGCGATGATCAGAGTAAAAACAGTAAAAACGCCTTTTCCCCGACTGCACGCGGCGCGTTAGCCCGCCGCTCATGCCACGACTGCATCCGGCGGCGACAGACCGATTATTCACGTGTCACACAATCAAAACATAGGCAACTGGGAAGGCAAAGCTCTTCAAAACCAAAACGCACCCCTTCGACGCCATGTTACCACATGGAAAAACAAGAACAGAGAAAGGAGAGCTGCATGATTCTGCGGGAGAGAGACTTTGAACCTCCGGAGAGTGCTTAGGAGTAGGACTGAACTAATGAACTTTTTCCTTGGTACCTCCATTTGCCCCACTCGTGGATGCAGAGGTGGAGCTTCCTGCGCGCCGCTAGGAAGTCCACGGCCTGTGCCGGCGTGAGCGCCCGACCGTCTCCCTGAGGGTGTCCAGCCTCAGCCTGTCCACCCCCTCCATGATCGCCCGCATGTCCCCCCCGCACTCATCGAGCGCCGCATCGGCCTCCCCGCCCAGCTCCGCCACTGCCCGGTTCGTCCTCCTCGTGATCGTCATGATAGGCTCGTCGGCAATCTTCTCCTGCAGGCTTGCCATCCGGCTCGTCAGCTTCTCCTCTTCTCTGATTGTCCTTCCCTGCGGATGAAGTAAGTATATATGTGGGTCACATGCATGGTCGCATAGCAATTAAGATTAGATTTGCCAAACGGGTGGTGATCGGATCGATCGGATTTGGATGCATCAAATATCTGTACTATCCAAATCAACCCATTTAATTCATATTAACATATTTTTATAAACATGCATTTGTAGCAATCCATGTCCAATCCGATCCGGACCTAACCCAATCCGACTTGTGCTATAATTACAAATGAATTGAGTCAAAGAAATTAGGAGCAATAACAACGATATTAACTATTTTTGCCAATAATCTATTTATTTTGGCCCAAAAAATAAAATTCTTAAAGTAATAGAAGATAATGTCTTGTAATGGCGTAATTTAGATACATTAATATGAATATATACATGACATGCGATTTTATATGTGATTAAGACTATATTGAATCATGTCAACTCAAAGAAAGAAATCGGGGATTTATCAATTTTAAGATATAACTTTAGAAGGTAATACAACCGCGATATTCTTTCATGTCAACGGAATGAGTTTATCATCAGTGAAATTTCCTATTGCAATTATATCAATTCAGTTCTAAACCTTTTTTTGTGCCAATTGAGTCCTAAATCTTTTGCATTTGTGCCAATTCAGTCCATCCAGCGCTAACGTGACTCGATGATCCTGGCGAGTTGTAAAGAATTACCGTCCTAAATCTTAGAAATCTAGGTTAAAAGAATTCAGTCCTAAATCTTAGAAATCTAGGTTAAAGAATTACACACATGTCCATGGCTACCCAATTTCTTGTCTTCGTACCTGTAAAGCATTGATCCTGGCGAGCTGACTCGCCGAGAGCACCCCAAGATTCCCCGTCCTCGCCCCTTCGAGGAACTCGCTCAGGCTGGCCTCCACCTCGGCCCCGCACAGCTCGTACATGAGCCGCACGAAAATGGAAGGCCGGCACCCGGCGAGCCTCATCATCGAGTTCTCCAGGGCAGTATTCGACGCCGGTGCAAAGAACCCTGCCACGTCCTCCTGGGCCAGGCGGCGCCACTCCTAAATATACTCCTCAAAGTGCTCGACGTTCCTCCGGACGAGCTGCCTCCAGTGGTCGTTGCCGGGGTCGTCACGGAGAGAGAGAGCGTCGTTGCCAGGGTCATCACGGAGAGAGAGAGCCTCGACGAGCTCAGCGAGGTCGGACTCCTGGAGGTTCATCCACTCGAGGAAGCAGCGACAGGAACGTTGTTGGTCGCTAGTTGCCATTTGTGAGTGGGAGAGTTGAGGGTGAGACTACATGGCATGCAGTTGAGTGTAATGTTTTTATCGTCTGTCTTTATCCTCTGCGGTTGTGACAAGGATATGTGGAATTTCTGTCGTGTAGGGGTCAATAGTTTTATAAAATTTAGGATGCCCCAATGGCGAGATTCTGTAAGATTGTCCTGCATCGGGTTTTTACTAAAACATATGAGTAATTTTCTTCACTGTGATTGATTATATCCATCACATCATATATAGATTATGGAATCGGAGCAATCTCAACATTTGTTCTTAATCCCGTCATTACCCGATAGTCATGAATGTTGTCCATATCACGCGCATTCACAAAATAATCATCTATATATCCGCATCTTTTCTCATGCCATTGCTCATCACTCAGACAACCTTCCGCCCTCTCTCTCTCTCTCTTCGCTCTACCTCTCTTTCTGGCAATGTTCTATCTCTCCAACCTCTCTGGTGACTCGGAGAACGGACGGCAGTTTTGATGGTGGAGACGGGCTGTGTAGGCGGTGGATACTTCACTTTGGTGCAGAAGAGCTTGCATCTATGGGGAAAGTAATGAGGCATCTTCGTCTGGTGATCTCCAATGGCCAAGGTCCAAAGTGCTTTAAGTATCGAACCGGATATATAATGGCGAGAAATTATTTCACGACTCTAGTATAGATAACGAAACGAATCTCATACGGGTGCCGGCAGATTTCCAGATTCAATCGAGTACGTTATACGGTTCATAAGATGATAGCCAGTAAATCGACGGTTTCCAGGACACATGTTTCTTCCGTGGCTTCGTCGAACATCTACAGAGAGCAATAGGGCTTCCGTTAAAATCGCCATTCCAAAGCCCTAGTACCATCTTCTCGTGGTACGGACTACCTGGAACTTGAATATACCGAGACATGTCTACATAACATTTTTTTGGACCGAAACCTAAAGCTGACAAGAGCTTTTGAGCAAGGACGAAGCCGACAGAGTTTCCATTTTAGTCGCTTTTGGAATTCGTTTGGACGAATCTGCCTCGTGAATGCTTGGTCTGACTTGGCCTTTGTTTTTTCGAAAAGCTTGATGTCAAGACTCGAGACAAAACTCAGCGTGAGACATCGTTGAGCAGAAGTGGCCACGTTTTACTCTTGCAAAAAGAAGCCAGAACACCAATGGGGCATTTCAGTTTGAGTTTTGAGTTATATATTGGCAAATGGATGGTTGGGAGAACATCATGTGGATGGTTGGGAGAACATCATGTGGATGGTCGGGAGACCACAACATACAATCTATCCCCATCCGACTCAGGCTGAATCGATGGTGAAGCCGCTGCCGGATTCTGCTGGACCTAGAAAACCAGATGACCCGGATTATGTATTTCTCCGTCAGGTTTCGAGAAAACCTATGAAGTTTTAATTTTTTAATAAGAGTTCCATTGTAGATTCAATCTTTCATCTTCTTTTAAACATTTTTCAAGATCAACAGCGATTGATTCTATTGATCACATTAATAGAATGGACTGCATAAAAATCTGCTAATTTGACCGGTATCTTGTGTAACCATCCTAGTGCGCGCACGATTAGGATTAGCACTAGGAAGCTGGATTGACCAAAACTAAGATGAAATCTTTTGCTAATTGATATGCCTAAATAGCATCTGCTGCAAATGATGATATGACTACTCCTCAATCGCCTTTGGTTAAGCAGCGTGTGATGTTTCATGAACTCAAGCTTCCATTGCTTGATTTGTGCAGGATAGATCGTGAGTTCAAAGCATACTATCTCTTACTCAAGAGTAACTTAGAAGGCAACACTCACCATCCCCCGAGAGGTGCGTTAGCTGATGCACACGGGTGATGTGGTTTATGTGTAAATGCAAAGTTTGTTCAAGCCGAAGGTTCAGATACCTATGTTAGAAAGAAAAGATGAATCTTGAACGCTTTTATGAAATAATGCCTTCAACGAGCATCTTTGAGAGGCCGAGTTTGACCTCGACGTCAATGGCGCAAACGCACCAAGGGGTACGAGGTGTCAACCCCTCCCCACGGCGTTTGGTGCTCCGCGTAGTTATCGGTGAGTACATATTATGATCGAAGACAGTCGAAAATTACTGTACATCACCCGCATGAGTTGTGCGAATCATTGTTGAATCGACGCCTTCTATAAGAAGAACAATGATGGACAACTATAGCTGTTCATATTGCTGAGATCAAGTGACGCTCTTCATGTTCAACAACAACAACCTCTCCCAGTTCAGAATATGAATCATTTCGCATAATGCCACGCCATCACCGTCATCAGAAGCAGGTGCGGATGCGAGGGGCTTCACGTGCCTGGGAATGGGACATGAGGTTCTCTTGTTCTGCCGTGCGCAGCCTCTTTTGTTTTCTTCTCTCTTTGGAGATTTCCACATGTAGAAACTGGCACGACAGCATTTACTCCCAAAAAACATGTGCAGAGCTGGAGTTTCTGTAACACACGCATGTCCGAAGGACGACTTTGTTTCCCGCACGATAATCCTAGTGTTTGAGTTGAAAAAGAAAACGTCATTTCTGATTCTGAAGATAGATGCACTCAAAACAGCCTTTGATTTCAAAACACGTCAGAATCGAATTTCTTTTTTCTTGTTATCCAAATATTAATTTGATAACCCCAAAATATAACTAATAGCTCGACATATTCGATATAAAAGTACTTTTATAATCGAAGGATAAGAGTGCATAGACCAACTACCTAAAAACTCATA